GGTCTGAACTGGTTTGGCTTCCTCGTGGGCGACTTTGTGGACTCCCTTGGCATCGTCTTCTTCCTCATCACGGTCCCCTTGTGCTTGACTTGTGGGCGACTTCGTGGGCTTCGTTGGCATCGTCTTCTTCTTCCTCATCCAGGTCCTTCTGATTGAGGTCCTTGTGTGGGGCGGCCAGTTCTTCTCTTCCGTCTACCTGATTCTGCCGTTTGTGACTTGCCCTCAACCTGTTTGCGGACGAGATCGGGCGGCCAGTGAGTCTACTTCCTCTACCAGTCGGTCTTCCAGCTCTGAGCTCTTCACATTGACATTGGCACCATGGAGCCCACTGTTGTGAACGTGGACCAGCACATGGAGGGAGAAGAGAAGCCGTCTCCCACAGAGATTGCAGAGTCTGGCAACGAGATGGACGAGGACGTGAAGGAGGAAGTTCCGGCTGCACCAGTCAAGAAGAAGGAGAAGAGGAAAAGGGAAAGGCGAGCTAAGCCAGTTTGTGTCCGTCGAGGTGACCGATCCAAAGCCCCTAATGACCCTCCTTCGATCTCCGACAATGATGATGATGAGGACGATGACGAAGACATCGGAAGTCCTGCCAAGAGACCTCACGAAGATAGTGGTGCAATCAATGCTGCTGAGATCAGAGAGTTGCTGTTCGGCCACGTCAATGAGATGAAACAAGCCTGGAGGTCGTTCCAAGGGCGACTTGACAAGGTAGAAACGGATCAGGTACAGCAGCAACATGAGATGGTGAACCTTCGAACAAGGACTCACAAGCTTGAGAAGGACACTGAATCCATGCGGCAGATGAATGACCAGACGAATCGCAACGTCGACCACCTCACCGAGGAAGTCAAGAACATGAGGGTGCAGTGGGAAGAGATTAAGTTGTCTGCATGGCCTGCAGCCAATGCCGTCACTAATCGGGACGCCAAGGACCCCAAGAACACCGCCATGACATCCGACCCGTGGAGTGAGTACCTCCGTGGCAAAGGGCGAAACTTGGGGCGACATGGAGACACTGAAGATCAACGTGCAGCTGCTGCTTCGTCTGCTGATGGTGGAGGTCAACGTGACAAAAACCCCGATGCCCTAACGGAGGACGAAAAACGAACACTCGTGGTGGGCGGGTGGCTTCGCGACACTCGCCGAGCAGTCATCGAGGAGGAATCGGCTGCTCTCTTTGCCACAGAGAACATCAAAAACTTGTTGGACTCCACGAAGCTCATGATCTATGGTCCCAGGCGCTCAGTTGGCATGCTCAAGTTTCAGCAACGGGAGGGTGAATCCTTTGAGCAGATAAAACACAGAATGTGGGAGACTGTCAAACTTGTTGCAGCTGCTAAATACCCTCTGCCAAGCACCAAAGAAGGGGGTGAGGCGCGCACTCTCTGGGCAAGCTTTGTGAAAACTAAATCAGCGAGGTCGAAAAGTGCCCTCGTCAGCATGGTGAGGAGAGTTACGATTGCCCTTGCTCTTGATGCCCGAGATGAACAAGGTGCTTGCGCTCATGTGCTGAACACCCAGACGACGGCGTACGATTGTGACTGGGGGCTGGGCACCATTTGGTGCGGGGTGCACAAACTCGCGAGTGCGACTCATAAGGCGCCGAAAGAGGGTGAGCACGTTTTGGTCTCAGGAGGCTGGGTGTCTACTACCGCCATCGCCCAAACCGCAGGTTGCTCTGTTGACGAGGCTAAACAAGCCTTGGAAAGGGAGCTGTGACACACCCAGATGCAGGAGACCTGTTTCACTCAGAATTTGGATGCAGAGGCGACTGATGACAGCGGGGTGATCTTCAAGAGACATTCCATGCATGGGCGACTTTCGTCGTGTGCAAAACACAGATGGGGTCGCATCTCTCACTGGAACCTGGCAGGACAGTCTCTTGACCTTCTTGATGTTGCCCTTCGCGATGCCGGGATTGCCATGGTCCAAGAAGTTGCAAGAGGAGGTGAAGGTTGGGACACGAAAGACACTGATCTCTTCCACTGGGTTCTCCACAGATCTTCGGAACAATGGAGAGCAGTCGCGGTTGGCATCTCCATCGACCGTTTTGACAGTGTCATCCACAAAGTTGCGACTAACCAGGGGATGTGGTTGCTTGTTCGCCTGAAAGGATTGGGAAGAGTTGTGCTCGGATCCCTCCATGCCTTGACCGGGGTGACAACCGACAAATACCAGGCTTCGATCAGAGAGTTCTTCGGAGCGCTCCCTCGCAAATGGAGGCAGTATCCCTTACTCTGCGGAATCGATGCTAATGAAGTCCCGCACTGGATTGGTAATGATGAAGATGGAAGCTCTGCCTTGGAGCTTGGTCACAGCTCGACCAACCTCAATGTTCTTGCCCATGAAGCAGAGGCCCACGGGATTTCAGCATGTGCTCCTTCCTTGGCTCAGCGCAATCAGCCCACACATTTTCCCCGTGATGAATCTAGGCATGGCAGACAGATTGACATGATCTTCTCCAGACATCTCTCCTGCGGGACTGTTCATATCGATCCTGACAGACGACACGTCATCGGCTCTGATCATGCTCATCTTCATGTCGATCTTCAGGTTGGCAAGCCTCCCAACCACAATGTTTGGGGTGGCGACTCGCGCGCTCGGTGGGTTGTTGCCGCTCCTCAACCTGATGATATCATTGTCGATGAGGATGACCTGATTAGAATTGGTAAAGCATGCACAAAACCTCGTTGCTCGCAGGCGTACAAAGACGACGATGAAATCAAGGATGCCATCCAGCTCGCCCGCAAGTCAGGGGACAAGAAGGACTGGAAACGTGTCCATAGGATGCGCAAGCAGTCCAGGAAAACTTGGCAGGAGCAGAGATTGTCACGAATTCTGCAGGGCAGCTGGGATGACTTCAGACAATTGCAGACCGAGAAGAAGCGCAAGCGAGGGTGGTGGGGTGAACTTCTTCAGGATAAATCCTCCGCTGAACTCAGCACCGAAGTGAAACAGCATCTGGAGAAGAAGATGGTTGATCCCTCCCGTAGTGATTGGGACGACACCCTGAACCTGCTCATCGACTCTGTCCCAAAGGGTGATCTTCCTCCCTTTTCGCTGCTTGACATCCGCACTGAACTTCAGCAGATGCGCTGTCGTAGTGCAGTCGGTCCGGATGGCATTGGGGTGCATCTCCTCAGAGAGCTCGCTAGCCATGAAGTGCTGGGCCCGCAACTTTGTGATCTCACCAATCACATTGTATCGTCCCTGGAACTTCCCTCCTCTTGGGAGCGAAGTTTTCTTGCACTATTGGCCAAATGCTCTTCTCCAAAGGCTGCTGGTGATCTCCGCCCTATAAGTGTCAGCTCTGCCTACAACAAGTTGGTCAATCGTCTTGTTTGTGCGCGTGCACTCCCTCTTCTAAGACGTGGGTCGAAAGTCTCCGCTTGCGGAGCTGGACGCCAAGCAGCCGACTTGATAGGAAGTGTGACGCGTATCCGTGATGTTGTACATGAATGGAAGCTACCATGTCTGTTGTGCAAGCTGGATGTAGCGGGTGCATTTGACAGGATTGACCGCCTGAAGGTCGCAAAGCTTCTTCGTGATCGGCTTGAATCCAAGGGTCTTTGCGCTGAACTTCGTTATCTCCTCAGTCAACTACATGTCCACACCCTAATTGGACAAGTCCCTGGTGGTGAACGCATTGAGCTCTCCCCCAATACAGGGATTAAACAAGGCGCACCAGAGTCCGCCGAAATCTTCGGACTTGTTATTGATCTGCTCCTAGGCGAATTAGTTGAAGCCAAGCAGTGGAAAGCGATGGGGCGCTCGTTCTCTGACCTTGACCTCGACCTGATGTTTTATCAGGATGATGTGTTCGTTGTTGACAGCGACTTTGCAAGACTGGGGCGACGTATCAGGACAATTGATCGCTGTCTCCAACAGGCTGGTCTTAAGTTAGCAACGAGCAAAACGAAGATCATTGCAAGTTCTGCTTATCGCGGGAGTCGCAAGATCAAGATTGGGGACGACGTTTTCACTGTCGCGCCTGCAGGTGACTCGCTCAAAGTCCTCGGCCTCAGCTTCTCCTTTGGACATCCTTCCGAACAGGCCAAGGAACTGCTTGGACGAGCCCGTTGTGCGGCTGCCATGCACAAAGATGTCATCAATGCTCGTGGTGTTTGGAGCAAAAAGATCGGCATGATCCGCACGCTTGTTGAATCCCAATGGAGCTGGTCAGGTGGAGCCATTCACTGGAGCTCTGAGGACCTTAGAGGGGCGAATTTATTGCAACTTCATATCCTTCGAAGTGCCTTCCATCTTCGTCGTCTTTCTGATGAATCGTGGGTGACGTGGAACTCCAGGACCCTTAGGTTTTGCAGAGCTTGGCTTGTCAACAATCAGGTTCCTAGATGGTCTGAGAAAATCCTGAACCTGCAGCACAACCTCTTTGGTCACTGGGCCCGTAGAGTTGAAGCTGATCACAGAGGCCGGCCCTGCGCCTGCCTTGCCCTACGTGCCCAACAATGGCGAAGCACCTTCTGGTGGCGACAGCAGCAAAGTCTGCCGGACACAGTCGGCATGCGTCATCCATCGAGGTTCTACGCGTCCAACGGTGAGAGACAAATTAGTGAAGCTCACGGTCTTCACTGGCAAGCTGTTGCTCAAGACCGCCTAACATGGGCGGGAGCCCGCACAAGATATGTGAAAATGTGGGATGTGAAGTGGTCCAGTGGCCGTCAGTTGGCTCTTCGCTTTTAGTGGTTACCATTTGCCTCTGTGAGCCGTACGTGCAGTGAAGAATGAATGAGTCTTTGGATGAGATGATCGGTTCTTCTTTGTCCGTGCGCAATGACAGCATGCAACTGGACTCAACTCATTGATTGCGCAAACAAGATGTTCCTCTCTCTCTCTCTTGGATGCTCACCAAGTTTGTCTTTGCCTCTCGGCTTCTGCGTGACTGTGCTCTTCGAAGTGATTGCACCCGTATCTTTGGCTCGTAGTTCCCTTGGGTTTCGCAACCTTCTGAATCCTTTGGTGAGCTCTCCGTACTCATGGAACGCGCCAGCGCCCTCATGTGCCTCGGCCTCCTCGTGGTGCTGCCCGTCGTTCTCTTCGTCTCCGCCGGTGTCGAAGAACCGCCCTCGTGGGGTGATCTTCAGAGACCTTCTTCATCCTACACTGGCGAATGGGCAGACGAGTGGGAAAATCCGTCGGAAGCAGTTGCTCCAGAATGGCCTGGCTCTACATGGACCTCAGCTACGGGGACATCTTCATCGGCGACTTCTTCCTCGGCCTCCTCTTCGGCGTGTCCTCCTTCATCCTTGTGCAGTTCGTCGACGTGGTCTTCTTCATCTCCGATGCCTTCCTCTTCTTCTTTGCCTACGACGTGTACACCACCGGCATCGGTGAGAACGGACAAATCGTATAGAGAGTACATGCTCTATATGTCCTCTGCCTGGGATGAGGACCTTTGTGCTGGACTACAAGATGAGGAAGCTGTGGCTGCTGCTCTCACGGAAGACCTGGATACAGAGAATTTCTCAACTGGCCTCTCCCCGATCCCTGAGGACCTGCCCTTGCCTTATCTCAAGCCGACACCTATGGTGGAAACGACTTCAGAAAAGGAGCTCAACTGGTATGCAGCACTTCATGACACCCGTGAACTTCGTGGTATCAGACGCCTCGAGACCAAACATCGGGTAACATCAATGTCAACAGATCTTGATGGTCGCAACACTCCGTCGACCCTTGGATCTGGGACTACTGCGACATCCTCCTCTTCTACTTCTTCCATGGTTGGTGGTGGGAATGTCCTAGACAATGATGGTGGTCGGGCTCCTTCATCCTCAAGCTCCTCTACGTACAATGGTCAGCTTGGCTCGGAAACTCCCTCCAGTGACCCTTGGCAGCCTTGCGAATGGCCGTTGGAACCTGGTGTGCATCAAGACGGAGGCCTCACAACACGTGGTGGACGAACCCGGATGGGGAGAGACAGATGGCACCATGAAGATGGCTCGGTTCGCTATCGCCTTCGTGAACGACTTGCTGCCGATGTCACTGGTGATGACGATCACGTTGGGTCGTCATTGTCCTCGTCCGACTCGTCTTCTATCTTGGTCCCTCAGGTCGCGCCTTTCACTATCCAAGGTCACACCATGAGCAACACTGGCAACTGGTCGCTACAGGCCACCACCTTCTATGGGGAGACTTTTAGTGTGCACTCTGACAAGCCTCCGGGTGGTGAAGCCTCCACGACTGCAGGTAGCTCAAGCGTGGAAGACTCTGAGCACAGCTCCACGTCCACATCCGAAGACAACCAAATTGGAGTGGGGTTTTGGCGTCACGGTGTGTGGATCAACCGCCCTCGCACACCACAAGAGCTTCGTCAACATGTTGGTGGGGCAGGCGCCAAGCGCTTGGCTAGGAGACAAAACCGAGTCTCTACTTACCTTCGGGGTGAATGGATTCCTGCGTGGTTGCGAGACTACAAGCAGCAGAAAGCTGATCGTGACCTGCTGAAGGCCGAAGGAGCATGTCAGACTCCTTCTGTACCTGATCTGTCTGTGACAACACCCGGCAACCACGAGGTTGTTCAAGTCACCGAGGAGCCCTCGCCCAATACGTTGAACGATGATGGGACCCAGCAGTGTTCTTCTGCTTTTTCATCGAACCCGGAACATGGCTCACAACAATGGTGGTGGCAGTGGAATGCGACTGGTTCATGGACGTGGACGAGCTCGTGGGACTGGTCACAACAGTGGGGTGACTCTTCGTGGATATGGTCCTCCTCCTCTTCCACTACAAGTTCAACCTTTGTGGTCATTCCCAATGCTGGCCTCTTCCCTGATGTCACTCCTGCTCCACCACCACCTGTTCCTCCTGGAGACTGGATGATGAGCATCACCAATAGTGAAGAAGCCACTCTCCTTGAAGCAGGAATTCCTCGTGGACAGGTGGATCGGGTGGCTGCACTCCTTGCGTCTCTTGACCGTCACCAAGCTCAAGGTTCAGGTCCTGAAAGTCGTTGGGCCATTGCGTGTCTTGTCCGAAGGATTGATGAAGGCCAAGAGGCCCTGGATCGAGTTCGAGATGTGCTAGCTCGTCGCCTCGTTCCTCGTGGTTTCCTCCCAGTGCGCCGTATACCAGCACAGGAGTTCGAAAGATGGCGCTTCTTCAATTGGGCTCGGGGACACACTGATCTTCTACAGCAGATCTTTCAGCATCACTTAGATGTGCGACTCCAACCTCGCGAATCTGGTCCGAGCCCCCAGTTTCTGCCTGAAAGTCCGCAGAGTCTTGTTCACTCTGCTGAACTTGATGGGTCCACAGAAGAGGCGGGCCCAACCAGAGCTTCTTCCCCCTCGGCATCTGCTCACTCTGGTGCACCGTTGGAGTCTTCGGATGAAAGTGGACCTGTGCAGCCATCCATGGACAGCGAATGGGCCTACAATTCCCAGGGCGAGCTGGTCTACGTTCCTCCTGCCTCGGTTGGTGGCTCCCCTCGTGGACCTCCGCCACCTCTACCAGTCAACATGCCACCTCGTGCTGTGCAGGGTGATGTTGCCAGCTCGTCTTCGTCAAATGAGTCGGCTCATCCTTCGCTACCTCCGGCCCCTACTGAACTACTTGGCATTTGGAGAGAACCGGAGACGACAACTTCGACCAGTACCTCCTCCATAGTGTCCAGCACAACAATGACATCGACAATGCAGCTTGACGATCAAGGGGTGAATTTCTCTGTGGACTTGCCCTATGCTCTGTGGTGTCCGTCCTTGTGGGTTGTGCAAGATGACTGGCTCCTGGGTGAAGGATGTATGGATTGCTTTGGTACGACTACGACGACTACTACCTGGACTGACAAGTGGAGACCTATGTTGACCAGTACTTCCACGACCTCATCCTTGCCCTGGCCCTCGGATATCGTAAGGGATGAGGTCTCCAGACAAGCCATCCATGGTGGTCAAGCTGACATCATTGATCTGATCCGTCGCTTGCTTGATCGGCAAAGAAGACTTCGACATGTCGATCGCCTATTAAGTGATGCCATTGAGGAGGCTCTACAGTGGGTTCATCTGCCCCTCGTTGCAGTGCCGCTCAATTCTGGGACTATGGAGGGCCATATCTGGAGGACTGTCTCTCAACAGGCCTCTTTTGGTTCAGCTCCTTCTGAGACGACACCGTCACAGGTTGCTTCTTCACCGGCCATTCTCCTTCAGCCGGGTTTTCCACGGACAGTTGAAGAGATCGTGTATGCACTGGGTGATGACTACTCTGAGCCTAGCCGGTTTGCTCATCTTCGTCGTCGCGCTTGGCGAGTACATGTACACAACATCATACAAGCAGCCGATGGGGTCCTTCCCGGTCGTGACCAAGGCCCAGATCCAGATCTCTATTTGGTGCAGCTCAATGAGGACATACCGATTCCAAACTGGCCTGTGGATGATGATGCACATCGACCAGAGATCCCATGGCACAGATTGTCGGTTGATGGACTTCGTAGACGGGGTCGTGCTCGACGTCCTCCTCCTCGTTTTCTTGGTCCTGATCGTGCCCTCTCTGTCGATTCAGAAGAAGTTCATGGCAGAGTGACTGATGTTCCTCGTCATGCTGCTGCTCATCCCCCTTCCGTTGATTCTGCCGTTGTTCGTGAGGAAGAGTTTTACGAACCACTTCATGCTGCTGATGACTCGGATGACTCAGGAACTCATGGAAGAAGGGAGCGAAGCAGAAGCAGAGATGGAGATGAATGAGGGTGGCGGTGAGTTCTGGACGTTGTCTTTCTGAGAGAACCTGTTCTTGACATGTCAGAGACTCCTTTCAGAGGCTCTTTGTTGTTTTCCTGTCTTGGTGCAAGCCCGATTTAGGGCAGGTCACTGACCTCGTTCATGCGGGAGAAAGGCCACTGCATTTAAACAAAAAAAAAAACTTACCTTCTGAAGGCCTTCTTAGAGTCGCAGACTGTAGCCTCTGGGAAAAAGGAGCAAAAAGAACAGAAAAAAACGTAACTTTAACCCCTTAAGGCCCAAAGCCTTGAACGCTGCAAACCTGAAGCCCTCAGCCCGAAACTCTGAACCCAAAACCCTGCAAGCCTTGCAGCACTGCCATGGGTGAGAGGCGGCTGCTACGCTGGTCGCCCAATGAACGCCTCTCGGCCAAGGCGACGATCAACAGAAACACAGAGAGAGAGAGAGAGAGAGATAGAGAGAGAGAGAGAGAGAGAGACATGGAGAAAGTCTGTCAATTTTGTGGGTACGTCGGGGTTGTACAGGTTTACAGGGAGACAACGAAACGTCCGTGAGGATTTAGTAGGGCACGGCAGAGAAGGAAACTTCCTCCTTTTGACAGGGTATACTAATATCTGTAGAGTAGCCCTAAATCCTGAACCCTCTCGTAGGCTAGAAAACTCATAGGCTTGGGAGGGCACAGGAGATTGTTTCAACCTCGTGGTCCGTTCGGTAGTTCGGGTTTAGAGCTATGACATCACAAGCACACAGGACGAGAACGTCGTAACGCTTTGGGCCCATATGCCGAGAATACAACTTGAGGCCCCACTTTTACTGTGGCCTTAAGCAAGTGCTCTCGTCTCAAACACAGGGTACACCATCTGGACCCTTAAGGTAATTAAGTGACACCTTGACAACTCTTTAGGGCTTTAGGGTTTGCTTTACGGGATCATTTAGGGGATGCACGACTTTTTAAAGGTGTTTAGGGTTTGGGTTTGGGGTTGGGCGGTTTAAGTTTAACTATGGGGATGTAGGAGTGGACGCAGCGAGTGGAACCGTTGTGCCATGTACATGCTGGTCACCAGCAAGGACACAAGCACCTGAAGGCCCACACTGAACTCACCGGGTTTTGCAACCCTCAGTTCTGAAACAGCGGACGACCAACACCCAAAGGCCAAAGAGGTAAACTAACACCTAAGGCTTCCTTCCCCTGACAATTGAATCTACTCCCTGCGCCTCAATTTTTGCGACTTCTCTCTGTACTCCGCATGGTCTTCAGTCGACATGTCGGGGCAGCTTGCAGCAAAGAGTTTGGGTCAGTTTTAGATCCTTTTCTTAAATACAGCGGTGTAGTCCAACAGGGATCCAATTTTGGAGAGGCTAAACTGCCTTTAAACGCTACCAAAAATCGTTGCCCTTTGAAGACCCGAGAAGGACTTTGTAGGACCCCTATGGAACCCTGACAGAAGCCTTGTTTAAACTCGTACAAGCTTTATCTGCTAAAACTCTAAATCCTAAACCCTAAATGCTGCTAAACCTATACCATACACCCTAAACTGCTAAACCCCGTTTGCAGTCCAAGAGGAGGGCCTTCAAGAACACCCCACACCCCAAATCCCTACACTCTAACTCCTAACTCCGAAACCCTATATCACTATATGAACCCTGCAAGCCCCTAAACCCTAAACCCTGTATGAACTCGACGAGAGGAGGCGCTGAAGCATCCTTGGTTTGACGATGGCGTGGATCTGCCGCCGCTGCGGGTCTTCAAGTCGAGAGCTTGGCGGCCTTTTAGGTTAGGGACCCCACATGGACATCAGCACATGCATTTCTATAGGGATCTGCCCTACCTTATTGGGCTTCATTATAAGGGGGGCTTATATGGGAAGTGCCTATCCTGATTTTTGCTTACGTGCTTGTTTTGGGCCCTATCAAGTGTTTCCAGGGCTTGGCCTCGGAGCTCTTAAGGGTATATATATATATATATACACATAAAACATTAATATTAATATTAATATTAATATTAATATTAATATTAATATTAATATTACTGTTAATTTTCATATTAATATGTGTATATATATATATATATACATATGTATATATATATATATATATATATATATAATATACGTAGGCATCCCTAGGGGTTCTAATTTTGGGGGTGCAAGTAGGGTTTAGGGTTGAGGCCGTCGTGGAATCCTGGCGTTTCGGGGGTTTCGAGCTGCTTTAGGAGGTTCGTGTGGTAAAAAGGGTTTTGTGGTTGTTTTGTCGGGGTGACTGGAGTTTGGAGTCAAGGATTCGAGTGGGTGGTCTTAAACCCTAAACCTTAAGTACCCCTTAACCGCAAAGCACAAGTAATTTAAGAAAACCATAAGCAGGCTTACAAGTAATGTACGGGCCTCAATAATTCGAAGAGGGTTTTGGGGGTTCCTTATTAAAACTCCGACCAACGGCCCCTACTTTCAGTTCCCAAGGGTCGGTGATTCTGGAACTCAGCGATGTAGCGAACGCTGCGCCAGAGGAGATACCCTATGCAGCACCGCCGCTCCGACACCCCCATGCTGCCCCACCTAGTGTGAGTGTGCTAGAACTCTAGTACGTAGTCTGCTGAGGCTTACCCTAGTGGTATATGGTGTCGTAGCTGGGCGACAGCTGTGAAGACACTACCTCTGACACAACCATGCAGAGGGCCATTGTGAGCTGGGTTTAGGGTAGGGTAAGCTTAGGCGTGTAGTTGTGGAGTGGAAGTGGGCTGCTGAAGGGCGGACCGTAACTGTGAGCCGAGGTACTGTGCAATGCTCAGCCTTTAAAGCATCTTCTGATGGCAAACTGCAGGAGGAAAAGGGGCTTCAAACAAAAACAAAAAGAACCCAGAACCCTAAACCCAAAGAGCTGAACCCTAAGCCCATTTCCGACAGTTCGGTTTCTATGTCGAAAGCGCCCAGGTCCACGACCTCAGGTCTGGCTGCTGCCCGGGACTCGCGATGGTTCCGGGCGTGCAGAAGTTTAGGGTCCGGTTTAGGGTTTAGGAGCGAAGGGGACTTAAGTTAATGAGCATAATCGGGATCTATGTCAAACGATATGGTTTGCTTGTTACGGTAACTTATACCAAATCCCTTAGCAAGAGCCCAGAAGCAGGTGACTGTTGAATATCGAACACCCTCATTCAACCCTAAACCCCAATGGCATATTCTGGTGTCGAAGATACAGGGCTGGGCTGGAGGAAAACTCGAAGGAGCTCCTCCAGGAAAGTAGACTTGGGACACTCCCGGAGATCCCGATACCCCTTAAATGAAGGAATATGCCCTAAACGATAGGGGGCTTAATTATTATGATTTAAGTTATATTCCTTAATTAGGGGGTATGACTTCGGTATTGCCTTGGCGAAGATGACGAGATGTGCTGTGATGTAAGGCTTTTAGGGCTTAGCATCCAGGGAGGGGTTAGTTTCACCAAGCGCCAACTCCTTGAAAGTGCTTGTGTACTGTTGTAAGAAGCCTTTGAAGTCCATTTGTTTAAACCCAAATCCACAAACCCTAAGCCCTAAACCCTAAACCCTGAGCCCTAGGCCCTAGACCCTAAACTCCTGACCAACAGTTCCGAAACCCGAAATCCTGAATCCTTTTGAATCAAGACCCCCGGAGCCCGCACAATGAAGCCAACAAGACGCCGGAAAACCACCAAATCAGTGGCCTCAAAGGTAGGATGAAGCTAGGTGGGGTAATCCCAAGTACGATTCCTGATATAAGGGGTTCTTAATCCTATCTACCGGCTTCCAACCAAAACCTAACCTTAACTAGCCATTGATGTTGGAGGAGCTAAGGAGCCAGTTATGATGATAACCCCTACTAAATAATGAGCTAAAGAGCCAAGGTGACCCCAAAACCATTGGTCAGCTAACCCTTCAGAAGCTACCTTGTCAAGGCTTTCTAATTCTTACTTAGCCTATTGGAGAACTTTAAACTTTTTGGCTTTACATATTTGGTCTAGCTTAAAAAGTTTGAACTTTGTTTGGGCCAGGGTATTAGAGAAGAGAGAATTTCTAATTTCTCTAAAGCCCCGAACCCGACTGCAAGTCTCCCAAAGCTACCTTAATTGACATTCGAATTTCTCAATGGCTCCCTTATACAAGTCATGAGCAAAGGTAGGCTTTCGGGGGTTGAGGGAAGCCAGAAGCAACCATCAAGACCCGGACCCAACTAAAACCAAAACTGCCTCGTGTCTTTCTCTACTTGGAGGGGCAGGGGACTTAGTAAGTCGTTCATAAGTAGGGTTATAATTGGGGTAACTCCATGTCCATTTAGGGTACTTATAACTCTACTTAGAACCTACTTGCTAAGTCCCCTGCCCCTCCAAGTAAGTCTCGTTGCAGGCGCCCTTCGATGCAGAGCCTCAGGAAAGGCGCGACGAGGCGTTCTGCTGAGAGCATCTTCCGGTTTATTTATAGGAGCCTGTATGTAATGTTTGGGACAGAAGTTAGGATCTGCTACATCATACTTCTTTGAGAAGTGTAAGGCTATACAATTATTATTGATTCCGGCCCCAATTTTGGGTCGAAGGTTTCGGAGTCTACAGCGGTGGCTTGAGCTAGGTTGTTGTAGTTCATCTGGGCGGCGTTTCTGGCCGTTGGGGTTCAGGGCTTACCGCTTCAATGTTTGAGGGCCTAGATACGGTTTGGGTTTAAGTCTACGCGGTTCTGTGGTGGTACGGTATGTTGTCCCAATTCAAAAGGCCCAAGGCACCTATATAGTAGAATGTAAGGTTTCTCTATATTGAAATGGAAGTATGATTTGTGAGGTATCCCTCATAACCGTACCTAGGACCGGACCCTTCTACCCTAAACCCTTACAAAACCCACAGAGGACCCCTCATAAAACCCTGAAAGGACCCCTTATCGAATCCTTAAAGGACCCCTTATAGAATCCTGAAAGGAACCCTGATCGAATCCTTAAAGGAACCCTTACAAAACCCTCAAAGGAACCCTTATAGAATCTTTAAAGGAACGCGTTAGCAGTGCGACCTGA